AAGAGCTTGAAACTTGGAGGTGGTCATGAGTTTTTGTCACTAAAAGATTTCTGTTTGTCTTCTAAGCAGAAAGTGGGGGTGAGGAGCTAGATTTTACTTCTGCTGTTGCAGATCAGCAGAGTGAATGTTGCTGTCTCTATTTGCTTGATAGGAGAACTGAGAAATGATCACCTGAAGAGGCTACCAACCACAAATGGGCAAGGCACTCTGGAGCGTGCAGGGATCCTCACTGCCTCTGGGGCTCTGGCTTGGTCTCTGTATTGCTGTTGAGAGATACCTGAGCTGCTTTGGGAGGGGCTCACTTTATTTGGTTTCACTAACCAAGGGTGTTGTCCTCTTGCTGCCCCAAAATAAAAGTTTTTAGTGTTAACAGAGAAATACAGTCTCCTCTGACTATACAGGTATACCCTGGTTTTGTACCAATAGTTACATTGCCAAGAGAAGGCTGTCAGCATTTTCCTGTTGTATGCATTCGTCTCTTTGCAGGTGTTTCCAGAGGTCCCCGTCTTTATTCACAGCCAGAAAGGCTGGGTGCCTTTTACTGTCTGCATTTGTCATTTATGAACTTTTAACACAGCATGTAGTGCATCCACTAGAACTGAGGAAAGGGGGAATGCTGCTAGGTGCAACAGCACAGAAGTGCCCAGAAAATTAATTTGGATGTTCTTTCAGTGGTGTAAATAATAAAGTTGTGCGCGTAAGCATTGAGGAATAACTTTGCATTGTGTGGTTTACACTTTCACCTCTTTAGTGCAGCTATGGTTAGTAAGGTAAGTTAAGTTAAAGGTTATTCCAGACAGCATTTATCTGGGGGCAGAATGCTTTAGCATTATTCTTGCTTGGTACCACTGGAGCCCTGAGTTCTCTGCTCACTGATGTGGGAACCAAAAGGGAATGTACTGATCATCAGGCAAGCATGTCCTGCAGCTACATTTCAAACTAAGGAATGATGAGAACATTAATTAAGACCCATTTTGTTCCCACAGGTGGTTTACTCACTTTTATGTGGTTTCTGTGCTCTGGAATGGCTTTCTGCTGAGCTGTCTTTTCCGAGCTGAGTTCCTCAGAGGGTCGCTCCCATCATGGATTCAGCATATGCACCGTGCTCTTGGCAGAGATCCTCAGAGTGAGGACATGGGCAAGTATTCCAGCTATTATGAAGCAGCCATGTAAATATTATAAAACTGCACTACCATCTGATGCTGAATTTGTATTCTTCAAGTGCTACTTCATCAGCTGCTCAAACTAGGCTCCAAGTGACTCTTCTGGAATACTAAGTCCCTTTGTCATTATTCAAGATAGAAATCATTCCAATTTATAGTTATGACAGCTTTCAGCAGTCCTTTTAGCAGAAAGGGCCATTAGCACCTTTTAGAAGTAATCTTGCTGTGGACAGCAGTGCTTCAGATATATGAATATTTTCCCCAGTGCTCAGTTAATTTAAAATGAAGGTAAGATTTTTCTGTGGGAAAGGGAAAAAATAGCCTTTTTGAAGCACCATTGGCGTTAAATCGTTCCTATCTGTCTCAAAGTTTCTATGTTTTCATCTGCAAGCAGATAGTGAGCACTTCTCTGTGCTCCTGGTTCTCCTGCTGCTTTGGCTGCATAGCTGTCGAAGACTTGCAGAATGCCTCTGGACCAGCGTGTTTTCTGATGGCGTCATTCATATTGTGCAATATTGCTTTGGACTTGCTTACTACGTTGCTGTTGGTTCAACTGTGTTATGTCAAGTGCCTACTAACTTCAGGAATGGTAAGTGCCTGCTTAGTTTTTACCAAAGCTGCACTTTTGCTCCCATTTGTTTCCATCATGGCAAATGGTTCATTCTATTTCATAGAAAGCTGCTTGTGTGAGAAATGTGTTAACTGATAGGACATACGGCTTACTGGCATAGTTCAAAGTAACTACATGTCAGTATATCATATAATCAACCAGCATTATATATATACACAGACACTGACCCACGCTTTCATGTTAACCATCACACTTATTTCCTGAAAGACACCTAACATATATACTTTCAGGATCATTACCAGTTTGTTCTGCATTGAGATGGACAGGAATAGGTACCAAGGTTCTCAAGTGCCACTATGCAACTTCAGTTTTCAAACTGGAGTTTGTCTTTGTTGTTGTTGTTGTAAGCTTTCCTGTATGGTGAGTCTGCAAGGCTGTCTTGGCCACCTTTTTTCTTTTCCATTGAGAACTTGCCACTGCTCTGCCCTGCATCAGTCAGTCTGTTCTTTCCTTTGGTACAGTAATGTCTTCATTAATACAGCGGAAATTTGAATTATATGGTCTGTTTCTGCCAGCACATTCCACTGAGTCTCACAACTGAGCTGCTGTTTGTCTGCACAGATGAATCGTGAGCTGGTTGTATCACTTCTCGCGTAACTAATTTTTCTAAGATGGTCATTGCCAAATAGGTAACTTTAGTGAAGTTTTTAACCATTTCCAACCCCGTCAGCTCTAGTTTAATCCAGTGATTATTTTTAAAAGAACCTTCAGATCTCCTATGTGTGGATAAAGCCTTTTTCTTTCTCAACCCATTTTCTACTTTTCACATTTTGTAGGTTCTCAAAGATGGTGTGTTGACTTGTACATTGGAAATCATCCTTAATACAGTTAACTTTTTTTGGAAGGCCTAAATGGTTCACGGTGTATGTGTGTCTAGGTGTATGTATGCGTATCATTTACTGCAAACAAGACAAACAACTGTGGGCTTATATGTTGACCCGAGCCATGACATCATCTTTAATTAGGATGATAAGGATTACCAAGACTATTGAATACTGAGGTCGTAGACTATCAATTATGTGTCAGTTGTACATCATGGTTGCTGGATTAAAAGTTATTTTTAGTATAGAGCAGTTGAAGGGAAATAAGCTGCCAGCTGAGCACTTGAATTATGCATGATTTAAAAGTGTCTCTCGAGGGATTAGAGGCTCACTACTAGAATTTTGTAAGACAGTAACATTTTAAAAATGTATGCAATATTTTAGGAGGGTGCTTGGGAAGGTATTTCCTGCCTGTTTGTTAATGAAACATATTTTATTCAGGAAAAGGCCTTTCCGTGCAGATCTCCTGGTATCACGTCGTAGGAGTTGTGATGTACATTTGGGCCTCTCTTCACCAACACAGATGTCTTGTGATTCTAGCTAATCTTAGAAAAAGTGAATCAGGTAAGATGTTTCCTTTCTGCCAACCCTTTACTGAGGCAAATTTTTCCTCCTTGTTTCAATAGGCTTCTGTAGCTTCTGATACCTTAAAACACAATAATTTTTTAATTCCTGTAGTGGGGTGCTCTCTGTAAGGCTTTCAGTAGATCAAACGAGGCTGTTTGCAAGAGATCAGGTGGCTGAATGGTGTGTATGTATGTCTCTGTATATATAGTTTTATAGAACATGAAACGAAGGTCTGGCTTCTCGTATCCTAAGGAGAGACACATGATAATGCTTAGGACTTGTGCCACTCCTCAGGGACCTCACTTCCTTCTCCCTGTGGGCTAAAACCAGGTTTCCTTACTCTCTATTTGTGCAAACAGCCAGAGGTGGCATCTTATTTCATTAAGAAGTGCAAAGCTGCCAGATCAGATGGAGATGGGTGATGATGATAACTTTAATGAGCATGTTCCTCTGTAATTGTGACTAGAAGAAGAAAGTTTGTTTAATGCATGTTGTTCTCAACTAATTTCTTTCTGTTTGCTTGCAGGAAAGGTGGTGAGTCTGAGCCACAGTGTGCCTTTCGGAGACTGGTTTGAGAGGGTGACGTGCCCTCATTATTTTGCAGAGCTCCTCATCTACGTATCTCTGGCCGTCACGCTTGGATTTCACAATGCAACGTGGTGGTGTGTAGTGATGTATGTTCTTTTTAACCAGGCACTGGCTGCTGTTCTGTGTCACGAGTTCTATCAGAAAAACTTTAGCTCCTACCCGAAGCATCGAAAAGCGTTTATACCATTTGTTTTTTAGAATATTTCTTCTGAAGTATATTTAATGCAAATTGGGAAATGTTTTCTGTAAGGGAATAAGAGATATGTGGTTTACTAAAGCCAAGGTAAAATTGCAGATTTTCTCTAATTCTAGCTTAAAAACTCATAAATTCAGTTATAATCTCATCCGTGTTACCAATTCAAGTGGGGAAATGTTAGGTCTCTCTGTATTGTACAAGCTAAAAAAAGGTTTACTGAAGACCTTAATTCAAACTGAAGAGATGCTAATTGGCTTTTTTTCTGGTTTGTAATTATAATCGTATGCATAAAACACTTGCTGTTGTGCAGCAAGCCAAAATACATGTACATGAAAACTGTGTAGTGAAAGGACTGTGCAGGGAATCATTGGAACTACTGTATTTCATGCCTTGTCTAATATTTAAGTGTATTTTTTCCCTAGTCTCTTTTCTTTGAATCAGTGCAGACGGAGGCAAATTATGTATTGTCTTTCTTTGCTTCCCTGTTGATAATTAAAACCAGCTACTCCTTTATGACTACAAGCACAAAAACTGGTGGAGAAAGCTGCGGTGGAGGAATGACTCATGCTCAGCAGTGGAGATAAACAGACCCATTCTTTGCATTACGTCTTCTGCACCAAAGTCAGTATTCATTGATGAAAACTCCTTCTTTATCCCTAAACTGGGAAAATCATGGAAGGCTTTCTGTCTAGAGGGACAGAAGAAGAGAATTTGCAGAAAATTTGTGTTCTTGGTTATGGTTCTGTCATCCTTATAGCGAGTTACTGGAATCCCTCATGTGTTCGAAGGGGCAGTTATGCAGGATGACTGTAACCACGGCCACACTGTTAAACACTCTGTGAGAGCAGATGTAATGCACCACTGAGGTAGAGGGCACACGGACAGCTGTACCTGACAAACATTGCTAAGAAATTCTTTACTGGGGAGATGATGGCACTCAGCACAGGGTTTTGATTCTGGTTTTTTTTGCACTTAACCATTGATTATTTTGGTCCTTTTCATGATGCTGGAGTGAGTGATGAGTTTGTGATGTTAGCATATCAAGCTGGTGCTTGGGCGGGTTTTCTACTTATATGTGTTTAATATTTTGTATATGAGAATATTTATATACTGAAGTATATTTTTTAAATTATCTAATTTATAAAAGTCTTGGGACTGCATCTTTCTGTATTTTTTTTTCTTTTAGCTATTCTCTGTCTTCAAGTTTCTCCTGTTTTACCGGCGTTTTGCCGAACTGTTGCCTCTCAGGGAGCTCATTCCTGTCCTTGCCCTGGGGAGAGTTCAGGGTGCGAGGCCTTGCCTCACACCTACCCCGAGCGCTACTTTGTACTTGGGTTTTTGGAAACCTGGACGCACCCTGGCGATTTCTACGCAAATTTTTTGTTTTTGCCTTCTTACAGAGCCGGTTTGCTTTCCGTCCCTCGGCGCGCTTTCGCTGCCCGCAGGCACCTCCGAACGGAGGCGGGACGCGCTTCAACTCGCCCGCTCCTCCGGGAAAGCTGCGCGGTCGCCTCGCCTGCCCTCTTTCGACCGCGGGACCTGGAGAAGGGGTTAAAA